TGGGGGGTGGGGCGGAAGGCAGCGGGATCACCAAAGATCAGAGACTCACTGAGTCAAAAGGTAAGAAGTTCCCAAGGGGCCGGTAGCAACACTTTCCCACAGGCAAGGGAGAAACCAAAACAAATGGGAGTCCAAGTGCGGTGTGGGTCAGTCCTAACAAAGAACGCATCGCACCATCCAAGCCAAGCCACGGCCCCCCTCTGTAAAAGAGTACTATTCTCCCTCCAGACCATGGCCACGCTGCCGTGTGATGGACTCCCATCATGTGGAGCTGGGTTCAGGGACTTCCAGAGAGGCAGGGGGGGTGTGGGTAGGAGGCAGGTGGAGGGCCAAGCCAGGGGAGCTTCCCAGGGGCTTGGGGGACTGCTAGCTCATCTCTACACACGAGTATTCATGTCTTCACAAAATACTTATCCCTACACACTGATAATCATGTCTACACACTGATACTCTTCCCTACACACCAATACTCATCCCTACCCACCAATACCCATCTCTACACACTAATACTCATCCTTACCCACCAATACCCACCTCTACACACTAATACTCATCCTTACCCACCAATACCCATCTCTACACACCAATACTCATCCCTACCCACTAATACCCATCTCTACACACTAATACTCATCCCTACCCACCAATACCCACCTCTACACACTAATACCCATCCCTACACACTGATAATCATGTCTACACACTGATACTCTTCCCTACACACTGATACTCATCCCTACCCACCAAAACCCATCTCTACACACCAGTAACCATCTCGACACATGGGTACCTTCACAGGAAGAGAGAAGAATCTGGAAGCTGACCCTGATTTGGAGAACCACTTATAGAACAGCCAATGCTAGAGTCCCAACTTTGTGTTTTAATTATCAGGAGTGTAAGTTCTCAGATCTTTATTGGTGTAAGCATCAGGGTAAAACTCTCATAAAATTAACGACGTTTCCACTAAAATTCTGTGTTCTGAAACCCTCTAGGGCAGGGTTCAGCACGTACATGTGGCGCTGAAGTTCAATTGAGGAAATTTAAAAGGTACTAGTGATTTCATTTGTTTGTAAAAATATATTTATGGCTCT